AACTGTGCTCAGGATGTGCCCCAGGCCTTCTGGGCAGCTCTGCACCATAACCCAGCTGACACTGATGGTGCTAGTCTAAATAACAGTGATGTTTTCTTGAGGACTGTGTGGTCAACGCTGCTGGCCACAGGGAGGAGAGGCCACCCAAGCACTCCGCCCTGCCCGGACAGCAGGGCCTGGTGCAGTGGACAGTCATCCGCTCACACCCAAAGCAGCTGTCCACTGCCTCTGGCTGGTCCCCGTCAACCCTGGACTGGGGAGTTCTCATGCTGTTCCCAAGACCTCTGCAAACACACACCCCCTCCCCCCACTCACATCCCCCACTAATGCAGCTCAGGCCCAAACTCTAGTTCCTTAAAGAACCTGCGAGGTCGTCTGCCCGGCGGCGCACTTGCAGACTGGGACACGCAGGCCCAGGGGAGCTGAGCCTGGGTGCACACAGCCCCTCGCGGCATAGGCAGACCAAGGACAGCCCTCCTGGACAGTGTGCTCAGTGCTTCTCACTCCTGGGTCACGTCTGCCCCCTTTTACACTCAAGTGTACCAGTGCAGACCACACATGGTCACTCTGTCATGTGTATTGTAGCATGCTCAGTGTTGAGCAAGATGGAGTCAAAGAGCTCTGGGGGACCTGGAGAGGGTGGCCAGAGAGCTGGGAAGCAGAAAGGCCTTTCTTTGACGACAAGTCCCTGAGCTGGGTCTCAGAAGTCCAGCAGGTTAAGCAGGGGGAAACATGCCAAGAGTAACACAAGTATCAGCAAGCTAGTGGGCAGATCCTGATGGACGCGCCATGTGCCAGACCTGAGAACACAAGCTGGGTGAGACACAAGCCCGGCCGGAGGGCTCAGGCTGATTTCAGGAGAGGCGCAGGGTCAGGAAACCTTGAAGGCAGGGCCCTCCTGCCAGTTCCTGTCCAGCTTAGCAGCGTGGCTGGGTCAGAGCTTCAAAGCAACGAGTGCCCCCCTCAGAGCGCACCCTTTCCTCACCTCCCAGATCCCTCCTCCACTGCAGCCCTCTCCAGTCACGTGGTTACTGCCCTGCATCACCTGCTACCAGCATGCACCCGTGTTCACCTGGGCACCCAGCCACTTCATGGTGTTTCTAACAAGCCCTACCAGTGTTTGGACTCAGAAAGATCCTGGCAAATACTGCTTAATAAACTGAACACATTCAGCCCTGGAGGGTAGATTCAGTGGTTAGTAGGGGTGTCGAACTCAATCAGAGAAGGGGCCAAAATCTAAAATCCAGCCTAAATCGCGGGCCGAATGGTTTACTGAACAGTCATAAACTGTCATTGTGATGGAAACGCAGCGGAGTGCAGTGATGGCAGCGCGGTGCGGGCCACACTGCAAGGCCTGGCGGGACGGATTTGGCCCGCGGGCCTTGTGTTTGACACATGTGGGTTAGAGCATCAGCCCACTCATCAACGGGTCACAGCTCAATTCCCGGGCAAGGGCAGGTACCCGGGTTGCAGGTTCTATCCCCAGTCCCGGTGGGGGTGCATGCGGGAGGCAACCAACCAATGTCTCTCTCTCACATCATGTTTCTGTGCCTCTCTCTCACCTACCCCTCCCTCCCTTTCTAAAAATCTATGAAAACAATATCCTCTGGTGAGGATTAACAACAAACAAAACAACGTGCACACATCCATTTGCCAGCCGGTGGATTGTTCCTGTTTCCATCGGTCTCAGGACGGCCAGTGGGTTGGGGGGAAGGGGTGGAGAGAGACGATTGCTCAGGAATGGAATGTGGAGGGAAGTTAAGGAATGAACAGGGACAGGGCCTAGGGAGGACAAGAAATGTGGGCGGAGCAAGAAGACAGGGCTCAACAGGCACAGAACATCTGGTCCCAAACGACAAGCCACCCTGCAGATCTGGGCCAGCTCTCTCACACCAGCTCAGAGGCGGAGTGGAGGCCCGAGGAGTGGGGACAGATGGGCTCAGTGGTGTGCCCACATTGGCCCAGCGCTCACCCAGGTGCCCAGGTGCCCACCAAAACTCCTGCATGGAATCGCACAAGACAGATGTGAACATGTGCTTCTGCTGCCCCCTGCTGACAGCACAGGGTGTGACATCCTGGGAGCCCATCCCTCTCCAATCACACCTTGAGGGAGACCAACCTAAGTGGGGACTTTATAAAGAGCCTCCTTGTCTGGCACTCGATGGGACCAGGCCCCCCCTGCGCAGGTTCATTGTTGACACGGAGTGACTGGCATCCACTGATCTGCACCAGGCTGATCCACCTGCCCTTCTCCATGTGCAATTGATAAAGTTAATAGAAACATTGGAGAACCACCCCACCGCCCCCACCCTCTAACCGAGTGATCTGGTGAACATCAGACGGGGCGTGTAGGAAACAAAAAAGCACGGCCACTTGAGCGCCCATCAGGCACCAGGTGTGTGCTGGGCGCGGGAAGCTGAGGCCCAGCTGCTCACTTGAGGACATGGTTCAGCAGAAAAACGTGCTACCACTCACTGTTTCATGTGACATGCTACAGGTATGGGAAGGGACGAGGCCCACATTCCCCACAACCTGGCCATCTCTTGCTCACAAAATTTTTAACAAAATCCCCTTTGACCATGCTGATACTTCATAAAACTTCCTGAGAGGTGAACTACACCCACTGCCTCTACTGTCACTCTGGTTCCCATGAATTTGGACTCTAAGAATCCAGCTGCCATCCTGGTCAGGTGGCTCAGTTGTTGGAGCATCGTCCCTTAAACCAACAGGTTGCAGGTTCAATTCCTGGTCACAGCACACACTAGTACCTGGGTTGCAGGTTCGATCTCTGGTCAGAGCACATACAGGAGGCAACCAATTTGTTTTTCTCTCACTTCGATGTTTCTTTCCACTCTCTCTCAAATCAATAAAAACACAGCCTCGTGTGAGGATTTAAAAAAAAAAAAATCCGACTTCCTCCATTTCCTTCCATGAAGCTGGAGCAGACGGGGCGCTTCCCCTGCACCTGTCGTCTCATCTGGGAAAAGGCAGCTTGGTTCTTACCCCACCCCCCACCCCCCTGTGGGAGGGAAGTGGGTCAATGCATACGCCTCGCACGGACATGCCTGGTGGTGCTGCCACTTTTGTCGGGACCAGGCTGTGGCCGTTTTATTCCCTGGAGGAAGCACTGTCAACTCTAACCCTCCTGGTCTCTCCTCACTCCCACCTTACCTGACAGGTGATTCTGCAAGGAACGGTGGGCCCAGCCAGCCCTTCCCCGGGCTCCTTCACACCAGATGAGACTTATAGGTCCACACTGCCAGGGGCTGGGGAGGGGAGGATGACCTGGTGTCATCTCAGAAAGCTCACCTGCCCAGGGACAGAGGCCATACGCTCACAGCAGCTTTCCTAGTGACAAAGGAAATAGCGTGGCACCCATCTGCCTTATACTTTCCTTGTTTCTCAATAAAAACAGGCCAAGCCAAAACCGGTTTGGCTCAGTGGATAGAGTGTCGGCCTGCAATTGAAGGGTCCCAGGTTCGATTCCATTCAAGGGCATGTACCTTGGTTGCGGACTCATCCCCAGTGGGGGGTGTGCAGTAGGCAGCTGATCGATGATTCTCTCTCATCGATGTTTCTAACTATCTCTCTCTTCTCTCTTTAAAAAATCAATTTAAAAATATATATTTTAAAAATAATAAAATAAAAAAATAGAAACAAGCCAGGTCAGAAAAGGCAGTCTCACCCTGGACAGTACCTGTCAAAGGGCACTAGTGCATTCCTATACACAGTGGCTCCTGGTGTCCCATCTGAGGTCACCAGTTACTACTCTGGCCCCGTCCCTCCAACTCCTGGCCTTTGCCCAGCCCCTTAAGAGTGTTTAGACTTTAGCCCTAACCAGTTTGGCTCAGTGGATAAAGCATCAGCCTGTGGACTGAAGGGTCCCAGGTTTAATTCTGGTTAAGGGCATGCACCTTGGTTTCAGGCACGTCCCCAGTAGGGAGTGTGCAAGAGGCAGCTGATCGGTGTTTCTCATTGATGTTTCTAACTCTCTCCCCCTCTTCCTTCCTCTCTGTAAAAAATGAATATATTTTTAAAAAGTGTTTAGATCTCACTTCTCACCAGCTTTCCAGGGTCTCTGACCCTCCCAGCAGTACCTTCTTCATCACTTTGGCTGACCCCACTCTTCACCTGGGTGTAAACACAGGTGCATCCCTCACTGGACTCATCCAAAGCCTTTGTCTGTGTCATGCTCCTGAAGCTCTCAGCCCTTCTCCACGTGATGCCACATGCTCACAGGCTAGGGTCCACAGGAGGGCCTGGACCACAAGTCAAACCTTGATTTGGGGGTCTCCTTTTGTGTTAAACTTTTAGTTTCAGGTAGACCACAAATAATTACGTTATGACCTAAACATTGGGGCAAAAAGCACTCCCTATCTGAAATCCAAGTCTAACTGGGCAACCTGCATATTTGCTAAGTGCTGCAGCCCTTCCTTCATGCTCACTCCAATCCAGGAGTGGCACTCCCATGGACCCCCCCAAAGTAGCTGGGAAATCACTCCAGGAATAGCGGGGGGGGGGGGGGGGGAAGGAGACTGTACCTGTTGTCTCATCTGGAAAAAGGCAGCTATTGCTACCCACCTCTGACCTGCACTCAGGTGGGATGGGGAACCGCCCTGTGCACTTACCCAGCCACGTTGCTCTAAGCTAGGGGTGTCGAACTCAATCAGAGAAGGGGCCAAAATCTAAAATCCAGCCTAAATCGCGGGCCGAATGGTTTACTGAACAGTCATAAACTGTCATTGTGATGGAAACGCAGCGGAGTGCGGTGATGACAGCGCGGTGCGGGCCACATTGCAAGGCCTGGCGGGACGGATTTGGCCCGAGGGCCTTGTGTTTGACACATGTGCTCTAAGCCTTCCCTCCGCTCTTGGCCTGGTTAAATCTCAGATCCAACTCTTCACCTCCCAGGAGCTTCCCGGACCATCCCATCGAAAGAGGCCCCCATCATCCTGCTCAACACCCCGCTTCTCCCTTCCACACAGGGGTAGTAACCATTACTGTTACATAAACTATTTTATTTAAATAAAGTCAGGGCAGACCCTCCCCCCACGCACACCGGCACATGCACACAGACGGCCACCTTCCCTTTCCCCTTCACCATGGCCACCTCAAACCCAGAGGCTCTCATTGTGACCACGCCGGCAGTGAAGGCCCGTTGCTCCCAGTCAATGGCAAGAGCGCACAGGCCTAGGTGCAGCCCTGCTCCCCAGTCCAGCTCTCGGCCCTCCTAGGGTGGGACAGAAAGGCCGCTTCCCAAGGCACCCGACCTCCCCCGCCATGCACTCCGCTTGGCAGCACCACCAAACACCTACAGCTGCTCCTGTGGAGGGAGGCCCTCCCCAGCGAGGGCAGCCACACTCCCGCGTTCCCCAGGGACCCTGGAGTAGGTATGGCACTGCTGGGGAAGGAGCACCAAATCCCCCAACTCCGTCCTGCAGGAACAGGCCGAGACCCAGCTCAAAACCCTCTGAAAGGTAAACCTCACTCCGCAACAGGGATGGCAAAGGCCTTAACGTCAGGACCTCAAACATCTCTACCGCCAACATGGACCCCATCAGAGACCCATAGCACCTTGGCAATGTTCAGGGCCCAGCTCTCCTGGGGGAACACCATGCACTGGGAGCCGTGTGGAGTCGGCGATGCCCCTGTGCTGACAGCAGGGTTGGTTCCGCCCTCCTGACACCAGCACCCTCGAGTCCTGCTCTGGGGCACCCAGAGCAGAGCGGCGCAGGCCATGCGGAGGGAGGGAGTGCCGAAGGGACGGGATGTGTCTCTGAGGTACACAGTCCCCCTCCCCCCGTACATCTTACAGGTGACACACAGGCAGGCTGGCAGAGCATGGGGCCAGCTGCCAGGAGGGCTCCTCCACACCCCTCTGGCCCCTCATCAGAAGGGAAATGGGAGGAACACCTGTCCACTCAGGCTGGGGGCCCGAGATGCTGGATTCAGGTCCACATCCACCTTGTGAGAGGGGTTCCCTGTGCTTCCCAGACCAAGTCCCTGAGGGAAAAGCCAGGCAGAGGAAAGAAGTTAGAAAGAGGCCAGCAGAGAGAATGGACAGACCGTGAGAGCCAGAGGTAAGCCTTCTGGGGAGTAAGGCAAAGAGCTGTCACCTGTAACACTGGGGAAGGGGGGAGAACGACAAATGACAGAATCAGACACAGCCAACCCGACCTCCAGGGGAAGCAAGGGCCCCGGGACGGAGCTTGCAGGGTAAGGGCCACGCCAGACCTAAGCCGGGCTACAGACTGATGCTGCGCTGGTGGCGGCCCCCACGGCCCCCGCTCCAGGTGCCCAGCTCCTGGCCGTCCAGACTGGCGTGGTCCGAGAGGCCTCGCAGGTGTTCCACGGAGTCACACTTCTGCAGGTCTGAGGCCACGGTGCGCAGGCTCAGCAGGCTCGCTGTGTCCCCATCAGGGGCAGGACCAAGCCCCAGGCTGCAGCCCTCTTCTGGGGCCTCGCCCTCAGCCCCCTCAATGATCCCACTGTCTCCGTCCTCCTCCCCCTGGGGCCTGGCCTCAGCGCCCACCGGGGAGGAGCGCCGAGGGCCAGGCGGGTGAGGGGGCAGGCCCCTGCGGCGCGCGTGGATCTGCTCACTGATCTGCTCCAGGTTGCGCAGGGCCACCGAGTAGCGAGTCTTGGCCTGAGCAACCTGCTGCTCCAGCTCTGTCACCTTGGCCTTGTGCTCCTGCGGGAGGAAGGGACAGAGGGCATAACCCAGTTGGCAACTCCTCACAGCTGCGAGCTCCCAGTCCCCTTAGGTCCCATTGGGCAGCCTCACCCTGCCCCGAACCCACCCGATCCTCCTCCTCTCCCGATTCTCACTTTTTCTTTTTTATCTCCCTACAACTCCAGACCCTGCCAATACCCACCCCCAACTCCACCTCCCACTTCCTGGAGGTCATTCTGAGCCAGGCACCACCCCGTCCCACCTAGCTGATCCCACACTGTCTTCTTGCTCTCACTTGCCATGCCCCCCATCCCGCCTCCCCGCTCCCGCAGCTACCTCCAGGATCTGGCTGAACTGGGCCTTGAGCTCAAAGTAGGGGCGGCTCTTGCCAATGGCCCGCCGGAGGGTCTTCTGCAGGGCCTGCACCCGAGCTTCAGCCTGCTGGCACAGCCGCGTTACCCGTTGGTGCTCCCGCTCGCCACGAAGCCGTTCCTCCTCTGCCTCGTTCACCTGGCCCACAGAGTGCAGATGACAGACATCGCTAAGCTGGGGGACATGCTCCGACCCCTGCCGTTCACCCCAGGCTGGCACTCCAAATGTCACCCTGGGGGAACCCCACTGTCTGAGGGGCCTGGAGAGAGAGGGCTTTCCTGAGACACAAAGGAGAGCAGTGGGTCCTTGCACCTGCCTACTGCTGCCTGCACTACTGCCACTCGGGTTTGCTGCTGCTGGGAGGGTGCCAGGGCCCTAAGGACAACCTGTGAGCCTGCCAGGAATTCCTGTCTGGGCACATCTTCTACAGCCACCGTCCTCGGGGAGCCCTCAGTGCTGGGGTGGGAGCTGGGGGACCAGAGGAGCCCCAGTGAGGGCAGCCAAGCCCTGCACTGGGTTCTCTACATTCTCACACCCCAAAAGGGAGTAGGCAAAGACTCCTGCCAGCATGTGCACCAAGGCCAGGGCCAACCTTGCCCCACACTGGGCAGGTGCACACTGGGCTGTCATGCCCTGCCACTCACAGCTCCACAGCCCTCCCCATGCCACTCTCCTGTGGGAGCTCCGGCTGTGCAGGGCGGGGGCCTGGCCTCAGGCGTCCTCAAAGGACCTGAGGCATGAGCACCCCTCAGGAGCTCACGCCTGCTGCTCGAGATAAATGTCTGCGACCCCCCAAAGTTCACATGCTGAATCCTAACCACTACCCTGAAGGTTGGGGAGGCAGCCCTGTGAGGTGAGAGCGTCCTGGGTGGGATTAGTGCCCTTACAAAAGGGCTCTGGAGAGCTCCCTCGCCCCTTGTGCCGTGGAGGACAGTGAAAGAGGGCGGACTAGGAACTGGAAGGGGCCCTCACCAACACCAGGTCTGCCTGTGCGATGCTGGACTTGCCAAACTCCAGAGCTGGAGAAATTCTGCTGTCCAGGCCTCAGTGTGTGATTTGTTACAGCAGCCTGAGTGGCTGAGACACTGCCCTTCACACGGTGAAGGTGGCTGATGCCAGCGGACCTCCCTCTCCTCAGTCCCCTTCAGGGAGCTTGGAAATGATACACAAACTCCATTTTAAATATCAAAGTACAGTGGCGGAGCTTAAAAGCAAGAAAGAATATTGAAAGCAGAAGGGGTCACAGCTAAACATAACAAAATGTGGGTGTTGAATCGAGAGTATCCAGTAGGGATGAACTGTTTGGGTTAGTGCCAAACCTGGAGGCAAAGGGCCAAACAATCTGCTTCCAGAGGAGAAGTATATAAAAAGCGCTGAGGCCAAACAGGGCAGGCAAGAAACAGGTTCGTCTGAAACAGTTAAGCTGAGGGAAGGCTGCAGCGGAAGAGAGAGGGTGAGGAGGGTGAAGAAAGCACGGGCACCGAGGGAGGGGCCTGCTGGAACCGCCGGGCTCACCTTGCAGGTGGCGTGGTTGAGCATCTCCTGCCATGTCGGGTCCAGCCGGTTCTTGTCAGCCATGACGCCCTGCTCAGCCACAAACACCATCTCCCGGGCAGCGCTGTGCATGCTCACAGCCCGCTCATACCGTAAGGCTGCCTTCTGCGTCTCCTGCTGGGCCTGCGGGGAGAAGGCCATCAGTCCGCTGTGGAGACATATCCCGGGTGAGGACAGGAGGACAGCCCACTGCAACGCCTCCCTCTCACACTGCGCTAAGGATAAATACAACATCTACAAAGAGTGTTTTGTAAGGCTACGGCCTGAGAGAAGATGGGAAGGCACGATGCTGCCAGTGGAGGGTGAGCTGAGACCGACCCGGCAGTTTGAGAGCCCGCTGGCCTTCTGCCCTACAGAGAACAGAGAAGTCCACCCTTGGTAGTTGCAAGGGAGTGAGCGATGTGGATCAGTCTCACAGAAAGAAAGCCCACCCAAGACCATCACATCAACTCAGCCCAGCAAGGAAGGTGAAGGAAATAATCTGACAAGTGCTGAGAAATAGTCATCACAGTCATGCTGACCGAACAAAACACTAGAAACAAACCTAAGTTCTCAGTTCCAGGGAATATACAGTAAATATAGTGTGTCTCATATAAGGAAATAGCAGCCCTTAAAAATGTAAGTAAAATAAAGAAATAAAAACAAGTGTATATATACATATATATATATATAGCCTAAGCGACCATTACTATGATGCGCACTGACCAACACGGGGCAAATGCTCAGTGCAGGAGCTGCCCCCTGGTGGTCAGTGCGCTCCCAGAGTCAGCAGCCCATGGTCCTTTCCCCAGTAAGGTGGCCCAATCAGCCCTGATCAGGACTGGACAAGACGGCCCAGATTGGTCCTGGTTGCCGGCCAGACAGAGGGACCCACCTGTGCATGAATTCATGCACTAGGCCTCTAGTATTGTATAATACATTTGGCACAAGGTATACAAAAAGTTAACCACACTTTTTACTGCCTATATTTTATGATGCTTTGACATCCCGGGACCCTTACTGGCCCTCCCAAAGCTAGTTAATTCCTGAATAGTAAACTCCCTTGTGAGCACAACTTTCACATGCAAACCAGCCAACCCAACACCCACCACCTCCTGTAACTGACTCTTCCATATCCATACCAGTCAATATTGCCTCTGCCCTAAGTTACCCAGGACCAAGTACCAGACAACTAGGTCCCACCACAGAGCACAGAGCACAGAGCCCTCCCCTATACTCACACCATCCTCCCACCCTGAGTTGGCCAGAGCTGCCTACCCTGCCTCATTCCTGACCACAAAAAGCAGCAGAAAGGCCGAGGGCCAAGTTTTCTTCTCCTGCCCTCAGCCTCCTGACCAGCCCGGGTGCTTCTCATGTAACCCTGCATGCCATGCCCGCCTCTTGGGCACTGCCATTGTCTCTGCCATCGCACCATACTTGACCAAAGCAAATCAAGTAGGATTTAGGGCAATTTTTGTTTTCTTTTTCTTGTTTTACTGTTACATTATAGTTTTCTAATAGTGAACCCACATTATCTGCATAAAGAAAAGGGAGGAAGAAGGGTAAAAAAATGGAGGGTAAGCAAAAAAGAGACGCATGAACCAGAAGGAAGAGATTAAGAGAAAAGGTGATCTGTCTCCCACCATACACAGAGGAAGCAGCCTGGGCCAGGATCGGTGCACGGCCCTCCCAGACGGAGGGTCAGGGGGCTGTACCTCCTTAGCTTGCCGCCGAGCCTCATAGTAGGGCCGGGCCTTCTCGATGCAGCTCCCCAAGTGGGAGCCCTGAGTGTTAAGCTTCCTCGCCGACTCCTGCAGGATCCTCCGATAGGTGGTTCTGGCCTCCTGGCAAAGGGACAGGTATGTGGGCAGACGAATAACTGTGTGTGGGTGCCAGTCCCTCCTGTTTCCGGGGCCGCCCTTCCCCTGCCACTGTGCTGACCAGGGGGCACGTGGAGACACCCGGGGCAGGCACTCACGTCCAGCTGTAGCTCCACCTGGTTGATCTCCTCGCTGGCCTGGTTCAGGTGCTCCAGCTCCTCCTGCCGCGGACAGGGGCAGTTAGACAGGGGAGAAGAGGGGCCTCCGTGGCTGGGTGGGCAGGAGTGCATGCTGGGATGAAAACCCACCAAACCAGGGGAGGGAAGAAGTGCAGGCAGGCACTGCCCCTCCTTGTCAGAGACCTAATCCACAATCTACTATTATCTCACACTTACCTGTGTCAGGGAGTAAGCCCTCACTTTAAAGTTTGGAGATGAACACTCATGCACACAGGGAAGTGGCAGCAGCCTTGGCGCTCTCTCAGTCTGTACCAGCTCCTCCTCAAACCCCAGCCAGGAGTCTCCTCCCCCCTGAGCCACTCACTCAGCACATTTACCGCACACTTATCCCAGCTTAGCACACAAGGCCCAAGAATTCAGGACTCAGAAAGGTAGCAGCTTATGGCCCAGCAAGTAAGTAACAGGCCCCCATGGTGTGAGGAGTCATGGGAGGGGTGGGGCAGCAGAGTCACCTACCTGGGCAGCACGAGGCTGGGGCAGGATGCCCTGAATACCTGACCCAGTCACAAGACTGGGCCTTGATTGATGCACAGAAAGCACCAGTGACAGGCAGGTGCCCGGGAGGCAGTGCTCAGCTGAGAAGCCAGTGAGGTCAGGGCAGAGGGAGGTCGGGCTCAGAGCTTGGCACTAGCTGGCTGTGGTTGGGAAGGCCTGAGCCACGTGAGAAACGAGTGGGGAGCCCAGGCAGAGCATGGTGGAAGCAGTTTGCAGTAATCCTGCTGGGGAGGAAGGGACGGGGCCAGGGGAATGCAGGCTGCGGAGTTATGAGGGCCTGATGGACAAATGAGGCCAAAGAGGGAAGAACACAGGGTTCAAGAGGCCACGAGCCAGCTTGGGAGTAGAGTGACAGTGACCCCAAGTCCCCACGCAGCAGATCCTGTGGGAGAAAGGAAGAGCCTCACTGGACCCGGGACCATCCTGGGAGAGAGCAGGGAGGAGCGCTGCTCCAGTTTCCACCCCCCTCTCTGGGCCAAGTCCCTACGGCCCAACAAGTCAAGGACCCTCCTGAGGAGCAGCCGTGCCCGGAAGACGCCTGCACTCAGCTCAGGGACTCACTCCAGGAGCCTGCGGCAGCCAGCTGGACTCACCGTCTGCCTGCTGCCCGTGCCCAGACCGGGCCTAACGTGGCCAGAGGTCACTGCCACTGCCGCCTCGCACTCGCCTCAGTCAGCCCTTTCAGTGTATGATCCCCGTGGCCCCTTTATTTCTACACACCTCCTCACCCCCAGATCTGAGTCTGCAAGTAAGAGTCCAGGAAACCAAGTTACATGCCGTATTACAGTAAAGGAAGACACACAGAACCAAGAACAAAGATAGCAAAGCAGTTTCCCTGCCTCTAAGAGGGCCTCAAACCTGACTCTGAACTGGACTGAACAAAGCTGTCCAACAGAAGCACAATGTGTGTCTCACACATCTAGTAGCCACATTTCAGAAAAAGCAAAACTGAACAGATGAAACTGTAACTTTTCACTTAACCCTACATGCCCAAGAAATTATAATTTCAATTATGTTATCAACATAAGTATTTACAACACTTTTATACTTTGGACGATGCCTGTGAAATATTCACATTCATTCAATCCTCAGGCACATCTCAGCCGGGCCAGCAGCACTTGGCTCCCGTACTGGGCAGTGTGGGTCTAGAAACTGGTGCACATGGCCACCTGGTTAGTCACAACCCAGTGTCCATAAGACAAGACAGTCTGGAACCACAGACAGCGACTCAGGGACCCCAGGGAGGCCGAAGGAAGCACACAGTTGTTTCACTGCCTTCCCAACAAGGACTGCACCTGCAAAAGAAGGGAGCGCCCCAACGGACCTCAAGAGAGGTCATTCCTGCAGGATGAGAGGCCACCGCTCCCATGGGCCCAGCTCCTGTGTGTGACACAACCCACGATGGCTTCAGACTCTGAGACAAGAACAATGAGGTGGGGCCCTGGCCAGTGTTGCTCAGTGGTTTGAACCTCGGCTCTTGTACCGAAGGTTTACAGGTTTAATTCCCAAAGGCACATAACTGGGTTGCAAGTTCCATTCCTGGTCCCTAAACAGGGCAGATGGGGCATGTGCAGGAAGCAATCAATCAATATGGCTCTCTCACATCTGTCTGTCTGTCTGTCTGTCTCTCTCTCCCCTGCCTCAACTCTCTCTAAAAATCAATGGGGAAGAAAATATACTCAAGTGAGGACTAACAAAAAGAAAAAGAGAAAACAGTGAGCTGTGCATCTGGCCGTAAGTGACAGAGCTGGGGCCGCATCCTGGACCCACCCTGTGATCTGGCTGTCCTGCTACTGTGTCGACTCTCACACTGAGGATGTGCCTGGCGGGAACCTCAGAGAAGACAGGAACAGCAGCACCTTAGAAAGCCACGGCCCTGGTCGGCAAAGGACAGGCCTCAGGAGAGCAGCAAGTGCTGATTTGGGGGAAGGAGAGTCAGGCCACCTGCACTGCTCCCGTGGGTTCACAGCCCACAGTGCTCCCAGCCGGACAAGGTCATCAGAGCAGAGGGTTCTACGGAAGTCATACCCACTGGAAAAGGGACGGGCAGGGTTTGGTATTGGCGAGATTAAAAGGTAGGAATCTTCATCAGCACAGCAGCTCCAGCAATTAAGTCTTCTGTAGGATGAGGTCTGCCCCTCATCACAAAGCTCTTCCTAACAGGCTGGAGGGCAGGGTGGGCAAGCAGGTGGGCAGCCAGGCCGGAATGCAAGCTGAGGAACACGGAGCAGTGAGGGCAGCTGGCAACACTTTCCATATGGCCTGTCCCACTGGGGCCTCCTGGAGGCTGCTGACACAGAACTCCAGGAAGATGAGGTCTGAGTCAGCGAACACTGCCCATCAGTGAGCCTGCAGCCAGAGGGAGGGTGACCTTCCTGGACACACAGTGCATTCCTAGGATGCCAGGCCACTGTGGCAGAGGCCTGACTGCTCAGGCTGCCAACATGCCTGTCAGCCTGTGCCAGCTATTAAAACACTAAAACACGATCAACGGGTGGGGCCAGGGCGATGCACGGCCCAGGTCTCAGAAATAAGGGAATTAAAGCTGTCTGCAAGCCAAACCACATTTCAGATGAAGAGGCAGTGGCTGCAAAGTCACCCGAGAGTCTGAGTGAATGTATCCACTCGCCCCAGGAAAGATGTGCCCCACACAGAGGCTGAGAAAGTCACCAGGGAGGAGACCAGGCCCGGACGAGACCAGTTTGGAGGCCTAGAGAACTACGCTGAGGTGAAGACACGGGTACGGACAGCGGCCTTCCCAGGAGAACAGCATACTTCCTGTAGGCCTGAAGCTGGCTTCCGCCCAACTCCCAGGCCATCCCACCAGACCACAGGGTCACGGGCATGCTGCCTGCCTGCCAAGAAACCCGTCCCAACATCGCAAAGAGCCTCACTCAAAGACCCAGAAAACACTAGAACAGGGTCCCAGCCTATCTTCGAATATCCTGGCCCAGTGGACACGTTAGAACCACTTCTCCCCCCGCAGGCCAGGAGGATGCCGGGTCTGCGCACAGCTCCGATGGCGGCTCTCACAGCTCCCCGGAGGCCTCTGATGGACCTGTGGTACAGACCCGCTGAGTACTAACAATCCGCTTATAACGCTGACGCACAGCGTAAGGAGAACAGACTGTGCATTGTCAACACTGACGGGGCCCAGAAAGGCACACGGCCCTCTCATCTGCACACAGAAGAGCCCAAGTCCAAAGGCTGAATGCCGGCTGCTGCTCCAAAGGTCCCTCCCAGCAGCCTGCCTCCCACCCGACAAGGGCTGAATCCCCATGAGGCCAGGACACTGGCCGGGCTTGGGGCCAACCTGAGCAAGGAGACTTTTCCTTCTCACATAACCCACAATGCAACTCGGGCTTTGGCGAGTCACGGTGGGCCCACGGGAGACCAGGGGGTATCACACGTGCCCAGTGTCCTCAAACCATCACATTCTGTCCCGTCCAATGGAACTGCCCCCAACAGAAGGTCCTAGTTCTGCACTGCCAATAGCGCCTGAGAAACTGTACCTTCCATTTTCACTTCATTATAATGGATCTAAGCAGGCTATGTGAATGGACATGAAGCACGGGAGTGGCTGTGGGGACACCGGGCAATGCAGGAGCAGAGGGACTGCAGGAAGAAACTGCTGGATCCTCTTCGGAAGCAGGGCCAGGAACGCTGCAGCCCGTCACGTGGCCTTCCTGCCCAGCGTGCACAGGGATCTTTCCCAAAGCACCACCTCACACTCACCAACAGACTAAAGACTCTGAAAGAACAGGCTCACAGGACTGTCAGCGCAGGCAGTCCTCACTTTACAGATGAAGAATCTGAGGCTTGCAGAGGTTACATAAGTTGCATGAAAATCACAAATCATCAGTCAGAAGGAAGGCTGCTTGCACCTCAGTCCGAAATGCTTTTCACTACACCTTGTTTCCTCAGTGGAGGACAAACCTAAATTAACCACAGAATTTGAGCTGCTTTCAATGCAATACCCGTGCACCAGCAGGAATGTCTGACACACCACTGCCTCACTGTGAGCAGTGACACCACCGGGAACCCCACCCAGAGGGCAGGGAGGCTTCTGGGACCAGCACGGATTTCCTGCGGACTCGCCAGAGTGACTCTGAAGGTTTGTTGACAGAGAAGCCCAGGAAGCTCACCTACACAGACTGAGTCACCTGCACTCCAGAACCTGGACGATGCTATGAACTGAAGGGCAGACTCAGCCTCAAACACAGAAACGTGCTGACTCTCCCCTGCCCAAGCAGCTTTCCCAGCCAGTCCTTCCCACCACTGCCTGGAGTCACCGCCATCCAGCCTCGGACCGCCAAGCATCTCCTCCACCGGCGCCTGCCCTCCCGGCCCTCCCCATGGCTGCAGGCCTCCTCCAGGAAGAGTGCCGGCCGCCCAACCAGCCTGCACGTCTCCATGGGGACAAATCAGCTCCCTACACACAGATGCCCAGCTCTAAGGGTGTAGAGCTGGGCATCTGTATCACTGAGGGCTGACCACGACCAACACATATCAGACGTCCTCAGAGGCCTAAACCGGACGCCACCTCTGTAACACACGGAAGGCCTCACCCTTTACAGAAGGGGACATCCCTGGGAGGCACTGATGGGAAGGTGAGATTGCCTCAATCTCAGTCCCCGCCACACCAATCTCAGCTCACAGCCCTGCTGCTTATCTGGAAAGAACAGCTCTGCTGGGCACTGACCGGAAGTGTGCCTCCTTCATGTCCCTCCCCTTCTCCAATGAGGCTTCAGCAACCACCCCAGGCATTCGGTGGCCTTTCTGGGCACTCCCGTCACAAACTGATCTTTCAGCTCTCCTCAGTTTGTTGCACTGTTTTGTTGACAAGCTTGCTTTCCTTCCCTGCCCCCGTGCCCCCATCTGCCAGCTCTTCGGGAAGGCTGGCACTCCTGACCCCCGCATCGGCCCCCTCACCTGTATCCTGGGATCCAGCTCTTCCTCCTCCCCTGGAAACAGCTTGGCTTCACTGCTGTTACTTCCATCCCCGCGGGGCTCCTCCGCGACTGGGCTCCGAGGGACTTCATCCTCCACCACCTCCGGCCGCAGCTCCCCCTGAGGGGTCTCCCGCCCGCCCGGAACCGGCCTGAGCTCAGCCATGCTGACAGGGCGCGGGCACAGCCCTATACACAGGAGAGGGCTGACATGCTGGGACCAGGGCCCCAGCTTGAGGCTTCCTGGGCTCCGGGTGGCAAGAGGGGTCTCTTCTCAGAGGCCGGTGAAGGGGGCGCAGGAAGGCCTCGCACTGGGTCGGAGGCGGAGATTCCAGCCGTCAGCGGGGTTCCTGCAGCCACAGCCCTGGCGGCACAGCGCTCCCCTCCCGGCCACGGGGCGCGGCTGCTCCGGGGCAGGGAGCAGAGGGGGCCTGGATCCTGGGCCGAGGCCTGCGAGGAGGCACAGCATTCGGGAGGGCGGGGGCAGGCGCCACCGGGCCGGGGTGGCAGCTGGGGACAGACGGCTGGGCCCGAGCAGAGGCTGCGGCTAAGTCTCTGGGGACCTGCAAGGGAAACAAAGGCCAAGGACATGCTCCAACCAGAACGCCGGCCGCAAGGCCCCGCTCTCCGTCCTCCCACAGCCGCGAACTCCGCCCGACCGGCCACCTCAACTCCTCAGCCCTCCAGGGCTCGGGGGCCGACCCCTCCGCGTCTCAGTCGCTCCTGCCTGCCCCCCAGCCACCCCCGGGCTCGCCACCGCGCCACCCCCAACTCCCAGCCCCGCCGCACCTTCTCGTCCTCCTCCAGCCTGCGAACGCTCCGAGGCCGTCCCCAGACCTCCGGCACAGGCGGGCGCAGAGGTCCCCCACGCACAGCTCTGCCTCAGTTTACCTAACCGTGCGCGAAGCTCCAAACAACCTTCCCCCGCCCTCCCCACAACAAGCCGGGCCAACCTAATAGGACCGGGCGGGGAGGAAGCGGAAATACATGCCGGACAGCAACGCCCTCCGCCACCCCTAGCCCGCCCTCTCTCCCTCCCAAGATCTTCGGCGGCGGCCCGGTCTGGGTTCCCGGCCGCTCGCCCCGCCCAACCGGCCAGCAGTTTCCGTACAAGATGGCGCCCACAGCGCTCAGGTCGCCTCACGTAGCCTTCGGCCAGCACTCGGCCACAGGTGAATGGGGTTGGAATATGAGAGAGCTTTACTGAGACAAACCAGGGCAGAAGATGGAAACAGAGAGGTCCTGGTAGGTAGAGAAGCGCTACAAATAGGATGAAGACTGACCGAGCACTTCGGAGCGAGCGCTGCCATCTTGCTTTACGGCCTTGCGGATCTGAGCGCGTGGAAGCCACTTCCGTCCTCGCCCAGGAAGCTGCAAGCGCGCCGGAAGTGGGCTGATGGGCTTCCGGCGCGGCTGGCTGGCTGGCTGGGTTCTTGCGTACAGCTGTGTTTGTCTCTCTGCGGTGGAGTCAGCGGTTCCCTACGGGTCTAACTAACGGCTCCGAGGGCTAAACTCTCCTCCGGCGCCCCGGCAAGCTGGCACCTGCGAGCGCCGGCCTGAAACCACTCGGGGACTCGGCGCTCCATGGCCGCCGCGAGGAGGAGCTTGCGGCCGGGCCTGTGCGGCCTGGAAGGGACCTGAGCGTAGCAGCCTGGTCATTGCTCGCAGGTGCCGCCTGGCCAGGCCGAGGGGACCTGGTGTTGCGGCCAAGGCCAGACCAGAGAAGTAATTTTATCTTGACAAGCCCCAAAACTGTTGGCCTGAGAGCCGGCCAGCGCCCGCCCTGGTTGTGGAAGGCTGCGTTACCGAGGGCCTTTCCCTCCTCCCTCCCCTCTTCATCTCCACCGGGAAAAAGTTGTTTTAATCAGCAGTGCCAGATGATCCTTGAGAAGTGATTGCAAACAGATTTTTTGCAATCAAAAATTAGAAATTTTATTTTTAAAATCCCAGGTAGTGACATTGCTCGCTACCCTGAGTGTCTCAGTGAACAGACCTGCTGCATAATAAGTGCTTCAGTCGCCTGTCATGTTCCTTTTTATTATTGAGGTGCTGTACAAAGACCATGTAAGGTACATATGGGGATCAGTTTATTTGTTCTTTAATGTTGTAAAACTGATGATTGCATTTTACCCACCTTCTGTGTACACAGGCCCGAATCCGCCCCAGTACAACAAGGTTACGGGTTCAGTCCCTGGTCAGGGCACATACAAGAGTCAACCATCCCTAACCGGTTTGGCTCAGTGGATAGAGCATCAGCCTGCGGACTTAAGGGTCCCGGGTTCAATTCCAGTCAAGGGCATGTACTTTGGTTGTGGACACACCGGCAGTAGAGGGTGTGCAAGAGGCAGCTCATTGGTATTTCTAATTCTCCCTTTCCCTTCTTCTCTATAAAAAAAAAAAATCACTTTTTAAAAAGTCAACCAAAGAAGTGAAAGCCAGACCACAAATAAGTGAAACAGCAAAATTGATGTTCCTCCCTTCCTCTCTAAAATCAAAAAATTTTTAAAATATCTCAACTGTTCAATAGAACTTTCAGCAATGATGGGAATCTCAGTATTTGCACTATTTTGAACTTAAAATGTAGCTAGTAATCGCTTCTCAGCCTTTTGCCTAAGATCAAGTTTAGTATCTGTTCTTAACAGTTTAATATCGGATATGTCCTCTATCCAAGGACAGTTACTAAATGGATTTTTGGAGTTAGGAGATGGAATAGGAGCTTGCTCTGTCCATTCCACACATTGGCCTGGTATTGCAGTACCTCTAGGAACGGTGCATCAAAATGTGTATATATATATAAAGTCTAAATGATGGTTAGGACTGGTAGACCAATGACTGGTCAACTGGCCGCTATGATACACACTGACCATCAGGGGGCAGACTGTCAATGCAGGAGCTGCCCCCTGGTGGTTAATGCGCTCCCACAGCCAACCTCCCATGGCCGGCCAACCTCCAGCTGTTCCTCCCCCAGGCCTGCTGGCCCCAATCAGCCCTGATCGCCAGGTGGAGAAACCACGTGTGCACGAATTCGTGAACCAGGCCTCTAGTAATAATAATAAATGAGATAAGATGTAGCACGTGGAACTGTAGAACTAAAACTTTAATTGTGGTTTGAATATCTACATGGAGCTAGTGACAAAGGGACAGCACAAGCCTACATGATATCTCCACCACGTTTACCCTCTTCCAGTCCCTGGCACAAATAACCAACCGATCCCTGTTGACTAAGCTAATGAATGAAATATAAAAATATGAAAGCCATATACAGATGTTAGTAATGCCATTAATTCTAGGTGGTATCACAGTCAACTATTTCTCAGTGAAAATATTCTCATAAGTTTTTATTTTTTAATTCACCCAAATTTCCTTCATTTTGGTTTTTTTTTTTTTTTTCTACTATTAGAAACTTTTTTCCTTTTACTGAATTTATTGAGGTGATACTGGTAAACAAAAATACAGTTTCAGGTGCACAATTCTACAACACATCATCTGTACTAGTACACTATTGTTTGTTCCACACCCCACCTCAGGTTTGTCCATCACAATTTACCCCCCCCCCTGTATTCTCCTCCACCGCCTCCCTCCCAGCAATCACCATAGTGATGTTTGTGTCCATGAGTGTTTTCTCTTTTTTATTCAATCCCTTCATTACAGGCACCCCAGAAACACTAAAAAAGTTGTCACAGGACACCCCCTGAGTTAAGGGAGAGGGCTGCTCCTCCTCGGTTCTTTCAGTCTCATCGGGAGGAATTCAAACAAGGGACTTGGAATGATTGCTTTGTAGTAAAGCCAAGTTATTAAAAAGCAAAGCAAGTAAACTTACTAAAGAAGCAAGGCAGCCTGGCCAGTGTGGCTCTGTCAGCTGAGTGTCAGCCCCTGCGCCGTCAGTTCGCTGGTTTGATTCCTCGTCAGAGCACATCCCCAGGTTATGGTTCTGACCCCTGGTTGGGATGCTTTGGGCAGCAGGTGATTGATGTTCTGCTCTCACATAGATGTTTTTCTCACCCTCTTTTTTCCTCTCTCAAATCAATAAATATATATAATTTCATTTAATTTTTTGTTAATCATCACCTGAAGTTATGTTTCCCATTTATTTTTTAGAGAGAGTGGAAGAGAGGTGGAGAGACAGAGAGAAAGAAACATCAATGTGAGACACATAGTTTGGTTGCCTCCCACATGCACCCCAAACAGGGCTGGGATTGAGCTTGCAACTGAGGTACATGCCCTTGATGGGAATCGAACCTCGGACCCTTTTGAGCCAAACTGGCCAGGGAAATAAAATTTAAAAAAAAATTATTTTCAAAAGGAGCAAGGCAAACAAGTCTATTTAAACTATAATGGTGTAGGGTGCACATGGCTTCTCGGCTAGCCTGAAAAGCATGGTCTGTCTGGTGGGGATTCAGTATTTTATACTTTCTGTCTATATTTTTTAAAATTCCTCTGCTGGATATCTTGAGACAGATTAACTCTTAAGGTCTCTCCTTTTATTTTGTTATGGCTTTCCTAGAATTTATGAGAAGTACCAGGTGATTTTATCTTTTTTTTCTAAGATAATACAGTTTTTTAAAAATATGTTTTTATTGATTTCAGAGAGGAAGAGAGAGATAGAAACATCAATGAGGAGAGAATCATTAATTGGCTGCCTTCTACATGCCCTCCACTGGGGATCGAGCCCACAACCTGGGAATTGAACTGTGACCTCCTAGTTTAGGGGTGTCGAACTCAATCAGAGAAGGGGCCAAAATCTAAAATCCAGCCTAAATCGCGGGCCGAATGGTTTACTGAACAGTCATAAACTGTCATTGTGATGGAAACGCAGCGGAGTGCAGTGATGACAGCGTGGTGCGGGCCACATTGCAAGGCCTGGTGGGACGGATTTGGCCCGCGGGCCTTGTGTTTGACACATGTGTCCTAGTTCATAGATCGACGCTCAACCACTAAGCCACACCAGCCAGGCCCAGTAATTTTATCTTGACAAGTCCCAAAACTGTCGGCCTCCCGGTTTAAACGGTGAGATGAAAAACTGCACCTTTTTCATTCCTCCTTCCCAACTGCTGCCTTAGCAGTTCAGGATGATTTATGCTATGCATTCTCTGGTTAGCTAGAAAGGGCATTAAGATTCCTCCCCGCTGAAACCAGTTTGGCTCAGTGGATAGAGTGCCCCTGGATTGATTCCACTCAAGGGCATGGTTGCAGGCACATCCTCAGGAGGGGGTGTGCAAAAGGCAGCTGATCGGTGATTCTCTCTCATCGATGTTTTTAACTCTCTATCCCTCTCCCTTCCTCTCTGTAAAAAATCAATAAAATAAATAAATATATATATTTTTTAAAAATTCCTCCTCCCCTTCTCCTGCCCTTCCCTCTGCTTTCCTGCACTCGTTAGTTGGTAAGGAGAGGCTTTAAGCCTTTGTTCTCAAGATAAGGTCCTGCTGCAAACTAGCTGTAAACTCTTTGGCTTTGTTTAATTTTCTAGTTTCAGTTTCCCTATTCCACTTGCTTAGGAACTTTCCTAGCTTTTCATTACTGTAACACCCCCACCCCACCCTAGCTGCCAGCCTGCTCTCTGTCTATGAGTATGTCCCTATTTTGCTTGTTAGTTCATTTTGTTCATTAGATTCCACATGTGAGTGGCGTCATATGGTACTTGTCTTTCTCTGACTGGCTTTTTCACTAGTGTAAAACTCTCCAGTATAATGCTGTCACCAAGGGTAAGGTTTCCTTTTTTATGGCTGAGTAGTGTTCCCTCATGTGAATGTACCACAGCTTTTTTTATCCTCTCATCTGCTGATGGACACTGGGCTGCTTCCAGATCTTGGCTATTGTAAATAATGCTGCAATGAACATAGGGATGCAAATATTCTTTCAAATTAACATAGAAACTACATTTTTATATGCTTGCATTTTTTCTATCATCTTTCAAATATGTAATAAATATCACCATCAATTGCTAATTAAACATATTAATTGATTAAACGTAATTAGTTGATTAATATGTGACAGGAAGCAGATCAATGTTTGCCTAGGGGAAAGGTGGGAGGGATTGCAAAATGGCACGCAGAAACTTAAGGGTAGTGGATGTGTTCTCCATCTTGATTAAAGTGAGAATTTGATTTGTGTATACAGATGTCAGAACTTTTGAAACTGTACATTTCAGTATGTGAGATTCTGTATGTCCATTATACCTCAATAAAGCTGTTTTAAAAATGTTTGAAAAGCCAAAACCGGTTTGGCTCAGTGGTAGAGCATTGGTCTGTGGGCTGAAAGGTCCCCAGTTCGATTCTGGTCAGGGGCATGTACCTTGGTTGCGGGCACATCCCCAGTAGGGGGTGTGCAAGAGGCAGCTGGTCGATGTTTCTCTCTCATCGACGTTTCTAGCTTTCTATCTCTCTCCCTTTCTCTCTGTAAAAATCAATAAAATATATTTTTTTTTTAAAAAGAAAATATAAAAATTTTTGAAAATCTGCTCCCAGTAATACATACTATTAAATCTGCTAATAAATATTAATAAAAGGAACAGCCTGTATTACTAAAATCCCTGAATTATTTCTATCCTTGTAAAATCTGAAAGTACATTATTTTTCCAAATTGCTCATCTCATTTAGTAATAAAAACAGCAAACCACTTGCCCTTGCTGGTTTGGCTCAGTGAATAGAGTGCCAGCCTGCAGACCAAAGGGTCCTGGGTTTGATTCTGGTCAGGGCGGGTGCAGGATGCAACCAAATACATTGATGTTTTTCTCTGTCTTTCCCTCTCACCCAAAATCAAAAGAAAAATATCCTCAGGTAAGGATTAACAAAAAACAGCAAATACTCAAGGCAGTGTTTATCTTTGCAGGAACAGTTCTGAATGGTTTATTTTTATCCATTTAATCCTCCAACAACCAATGGAGGTACTATTGTACCTCCACTTTACAATTGAGGAAATGGAGGAACATACTACTGGTAAAGGGTGACACCAGTCTTTGAACTCAATACACACCTTTAGCCACAATAACACACTGCATCAATTAAGCGTTATTAAAAAAGTATTTAAGATTATTTTCCCCCCAGCAGAATTTTGTGCTACTTAGTGATGAAAGAGGGGAATCCTTGAATAACTGGGGAGATATAGAAGGGACCCCCAAATCCATATGGGGTGCTGGGTACTCCAAAACCTAGTGGAAGGCACATCAGGCACAAATTCCTTAGTGGTTCTAAGTGGAATCCCGGCTACTGTTGTGGGGTCGAACCCTGGGTTCAAAATAAGACCACCGGAGGCTGATGATTGATTAAAAAGCAGGCAAGGATTTATTGAAAAACTGGCCAGGACACGCAGGTGGAGTCCACATAACTGCACCGTTCCAGGTGTAGGCAGTCCTTTTAAAGGTCTAAACCAGAAGAATTTTCCTTTGTTCTAAATTCTAAATTCTAAAGGCTGGGAACAGCCTACAGGGTCGTTCCCAGTCACATTCTGCTGGACATTGGAATGTGGCCCTATCTTGCGATAGCAGATAATACAGAAGCAGAGCTCAGCGGTTAGACTCTAAAGGTTATCTACAGTTTCTACCCCTAAAGTTACTGAGTCAGTGGGAATCAATCTCCTATAGTTCTGGTCCCAGGCACAGGAAAATTGCCTTAGCCTCCAGGTCTCCACCTAGAAGCTGAAGTATTATAACTACCCTATGTTTAAGCAGGCACAGAAGCCAGAATGGCAGGGTTAAAATTCAAACAGCAGTTTTTACCCAAGTATGGTTGCTACCATATTTCACTACAAACCCCAGCCATTGGAGATGGAGGAGCTCCCA